AGCTTTCAAGAGCAAAAAAACTTTGGTGTGTTGAACTAATTGGAAAACTATATAGATTCTGTTTTGAAGAAGAAACTAATTAAATGTAACTGCTGTATGTTGTGTTGGCAAGTACAGAGCTAACTGCTTTTAGGACACAATGTTTTGTTCATATGTTTCATAAACTGGATGCAGAGATCATTATATTATCTCTTACATGAAGATGAAACCTCACAGGTTTCAGTATATTGGCAACATTTACTTTTTTTATTCTAAATTCTCTAGAGTCTCTCAAGATTTCCCATAACTGTCTTCTGTTCTCCTCCAACTGCCTATCGAATGCTTGTGCAACATAAACTGTCCAGGTAAGCAAGAACAGACTATCCTTGTTGGTGTATTTGATCAAAACAGTAGACCAAATGCTTGTCTCGTTGATTTTATTCCAGATTTACAATGGCATTACAGTAACACAGCTCAGTTATTTCTCAAAATTTTGAATCTTAAGTATTAGGAACAAAGTCACAATAAGGATTTAGGGGTAGCTTAACCATCTCAGATTTCATAAATTACAGTGAACTTTGGTAAGACTTTGAAAAGCAGTTTAGCTGAAGATGTAATAGGATACCCATGATATCCTTTTATAATCACATACCCCCTCCATTTGTTATTCCACTTGTTCATCCAGTGCTATAAGCTACAAGAAGTGTGTGTGTCAGCACAGCTTGGTGAAATGTATGAAAGACTGTGGCCTCCTTTAACCCTTCTATGAGTTTTTATTGTCATTAGGGTTGAACTTTGTTTTTCCTCTTCAGTTTAGACCCCAGTTCAGATTCTAGGGTTAGAAACAGTATACTGATCACTTGATTTTTCTAAAATAATACAGAAGTAAAACAGCAGGTTTTTTTCTTTATTTGCATTTTTTCGGATTTGTTTTTGTTTAACACTACACAGTTCAAATGGATGGAACAGGACTCAGTAAAAAAATTTGGGTTTATGTAGAAAGGACCCCACAATACAGGAATACAGTAGTGAATGGGACATAGCAGATAGATGACTGCTAAGTATTTGTTTTCTCTTTCCCCCTAAGCTATACATTCAAAAGCCTGCGGCACTGTGTGAGCGCTGGGGAACCAATCAACCCTGACGTGATGGAAGAATGGAAAGCGCAGACTGGGCTGGATATTCATGAAGGCTATGGACAGACAGAAACTGTATGTTCTGCTTTATGAGTGTAAAAATGTCTGCTTTACAGATACAGCTATAAGTTCCATTCATGTTGCCAAGAAAAAGTGGTTACAATTATTATACATAGTTATGACTTTCAGGGAAAAGTCAATTGCAATAAGCAACAGTGGAAAAATCAGGTTTTGTAAGTCATAGAACAATCATAACAACTTCAGCCAAAACCCAAGGACTGTTTTTCAATCATTTGATATATGATTATAATGAAGACAATTTGTATTTCATATAGAAACACACAGTATTAGCTGAATATTTTAAACCTAAGCTAAAGACTGAATATACAGGTCACACTTTAAAAAAAAAAAAAGAAAAAAAAAATACCACTACTTGTTACAGGTGCTCATCTGTGGAAATTTTAAGGGAATGAAAATCAAACCTGGCTCTATGGGAAAGCCATCTCCAGAGTATGATGTCAAGGTATTGTACCTTTGGTGACTCAATCTCTCTCCCTTGCATAATCACTTTCCACTAAAGAGGAAATCTGAAAGCTCTAACACAGAGCTGTACCATGTACCATCATTCAGCAGTGAACAAAAGAGTGAAGAAATGCATGTTACTGCCCTGAACTGAGCGTGCAAAATAAGCAATTGGATGTCCCTGTTGTGCCATCCTTGCCGACAGATGACAACCCACTGCTAACTGACAGTTGGATATCAAACTTTAAGGCAATGATAGCAATTAAATTGCTGAGTTAAGGAAGAGTGGGAATGAATGTTATTTCCTGATGATGACAAAACCGCTGAAGCAGATTCTAGCACCAGATCAATTTGCAATATCCTTTCGGTTCTAATCTTTCCCACCCTATTACTTATGATCCTCCCTGGGGTGTTATTAACCTCATTACGTGTTTGCATAGTACTTGGCATTCCTCAGATAAAAGACATAGTACAAAGTGCAGTGGATTAGTAATAATCTTACACTTCAGTTGTCAGAGTAAGATCCCCTGCTGCTGCAAATCATTTCCTCCCCCAAAAATAATTTCAATTATGTATTTTAAATGCGCACCAAGACTCTGACTTTAACTTAATGCTTTTTGGCTCCAAGATAATAAAACTGTGTTTTGTTTATTTTAGATTATAGATGAAAACAGTAATATTCTGCCTCCTGGAAAAGAAGGAGATATTGCCATCAGAGTAAAACCTACAAGATCGCCTTTTCTTTTTACTTGCTATGCTGTAAGAGTATTTCTACAGTGAGAGTAGATATCCTGTTAAACCTCTGTCACAAGGAATCTGATGCTCCATTTCATTTACATGTACTCGTATTATCAGTCTAAAAACCTGTGGGGAGGAAAGAGGGATTTCTGTTTTTTTTTTCCTGTAGATGCTTGGTCTACTGATAGAATTATGTGTGTAATGAGATTGTCCTGTCTAGCAAGTTAAAATCCACTTTCAATTGTTATTTCCTTAATAGAAAGGGAAGTGTTTGACAAACCCTCTAATCCCAAAATACTCTTTGGCCTAAGGGCTAGAGCCCTGATCTGAGAAGCAGGACACTGTTTAAATCCCTTCCCTCCAGATTTGAGCTTCTTGGAGTGTTTCATGCACAGCAACATTTTTCAGGGTTTTTTTTTCCATGTTAGAATTTTCAGTCCAACCAGCAGAAGAAATGCATAGGGCTTTCAGTTCTGACACCAGACCTTATTCAGTTTTACGGGTAGTATCAGCCTACAGTCAGGTCTTCTGAGCAGTACTGAGCATGTGGGAAAGGAACACCATGCATAATACCTAGAAAAATTCTTACAGAAGTCAGTTGCATTGGCTGTAGAAAGTGCTTATTACTTGCACTGTGCTGAGGCAAAACTTTTCTGGGAGTGAAAAAAAAAAATATCTCAGCATAGGAGATGCTAGAAATACAAAGGAAAAAAATCATTAAAGGATAATCAACTAAAAGTGAATTCTCAGTTCCATAAGTCTACCTATTTTTGCAACTTTCAGTGTTTCCTAAAGCTGTGTGGCATAATATATTATGATTTTTAGTCAGTCAAGTAGCGAAACCATACATTTACCACAATTTTATATCTAATTTTGTAGCTTAGTCTCTATTGTTAATGTCCCACTTGAATCTGATGCACATGACCACAGTATGGACCAGTCTGAAAGCTGAAATTTTTGAATATTTGACTGTACAGTAACGTTTATGCTGACTATGTTAGAATGCCATTTCAGGTATTTTTCAGGTAGCTTTCATGTAAAATGCAATTGAATATTTCCTAGGATGATCCAGAGAAAACAGAGGCAACATTACGTGGGGATTTTTATGTCACTGGCGACAGAGGGATAATGGATGAGGATGGGTACTTCTGGTTTGTTGGAAGAGCTGATGATGTCATTAATTCTGCTGGGTAATTTAAGACTAATTAACAGTAAATTAAATTTGAATAACACGGATGATTCAGATGTGAAGTTATGCTTATGTGTTATCAAATACAGCTAAAAGCCCTTCCTTCTGTTTTAAAGATACCGTATTGGACCCTTTGAAGTAGAAAGTGCTCTAGCAGAGCATCCTGCAGTGGTGGAATCCGCAGTTGTCAGCAGTCCAGACCCCATCAGAGGAGAGGTAAACAAGTTAAACAAGCTAATATATTTAAATAACTTGTGCATACCCGAGCTAATAAAGCCCAACTTCCAAAGGATTTGTCTATCCAAGGATTTATTTTTTAAAATTTTTTAACTTAAATGAATTCAAGATGACATTTCTACTCCGTCAGACAGCGGAGAATCCATGCAGGAAAAACTGACCAAGGCAGTTGCCCCAAATGTAACAAAAGCACACTTTGAAACTTTCCCTGTCATTCAAATACTTAGTTTTTCATCTTTATTAAATGTATATAAACTGCCTGCACAGTCCAGACCAATAGTAAAGCTTTCTGTACCTGCCCTATACATTATTCTGCAGTTTGTCAGCAAATGTTTGGTTAAGAGTTTCAAACTGTAGTTGTGTAATATTGTTTCATTGGTATTTAAACCATTGCTGCCATAAATTCTTTAGGTAGTGAAAGCCTTTATTGTTTTAACACCTGACTATGCTTTGCATGATCCGGAAAAAATGATGAAAGAGCTACAAGACCACGTTAAGAAAGTTACTGCTCCATACAAATATCCGAGGAAGGTGAGTGCTCAAACACCCAAATAACAGTTAGCACCCAGTCTTAGGGTACTGAAAACTATGTGGCTTATAAATCTATGCTGCTGAGGTTAAGAAAGTAAAGAACTGTGTTTTGTATTGCAATTTCCTCCGTTTCCCAATAGATGGAGTTTGTTGAACAGTTACCAAAAACTATTAGTGGGAAGATCAGAAGAAATGAGCTGCGCCAGAAGGAGTGGAGAAAAGATTAGAAGTACTTGTTGCTTTTTAATGGAATTTTTTACAAAGTAAAATATTGCTGATTTACTCAGTAACATAAAGTAAAAAACATTATACTATGTCCTTCTTCGTTTAGGTTTGAATAAATTCTTAACCAATTCCTAGTTATGTGACTGTCCCAGGTACTACACTAATAACTAATAGTACAAAAGCAGGCAGAATGACACAAATGAAATGGGAAACTCATAGTCAGGAGAGCAACAGATGTGTGTTAAATAAACTATTTAATGAACTATCACTAGCACTTTATTGTTATTTCATTTAAATTATAAAAACCAGTAAGAATTTAAGAGAACACTATTGCTTAAAAATTCACTTTTGAGAGCTGCAACAACTAAATTAATTTTTAAGGTAGTTATAATCATTACAAGTATATTTAGAAAAAATAGTATAAATAAAATCTGTATCATTAAAATGGTCTTTAAGGACTGGACTAGTAAATAATTTAATATACCTAATAAAGCAGAAATTTAAGATGTGTAGCAACAATTACTCATACTTTAATTTTAGTACTTACTAGTTTTGGCTGTTCTCTCACACTTCATTAACAACACTTTATGATATATTGATATTTTTGTATGCTTGATAAATTTCCATTTTTACCTATGTTAACCAATGTCATTTTTGTCCCATATTCAGAACATATATCTGACATCATGTGATTGTCCTGATTATATTAAACTCAGTTAGTTGATCATGCTTAAGATTCGGATTCAAAAAACCACTTACCAACGTTCAAGTTCTCATAGAGGGTCTAAGACACAAGTATTTTTTGTTGGAAGAATTTCCTAAGTTACTAGTGTAAGTTCCAAGAGAGGTTAAAGCATCTGCATTCTGAGTGAGACAATTAGATTTCTCTTTTAGAAGCGCATATTCCCACTTGAAGTATCCACAGCCTTTCTTATTACCTTCATGCTTGCCAACAGGACAACAAAAAAATGCTTTGCCATGATTTGGACCAGCATTCGACACATACAGTTTTTTAGCTCTTCGACCACAGTTACACAGAGGGGGAGTTAGTTTTCCATTTTTCACAGCTCTTGCTGACTGATTCAAATTGACTGTGGAGTTCAGAACGGCAGGAGACACTCTGGGCAAATCTGAACTTCTTAAAGGCGAGGAGTGATCAAGAGATGAAGATTTCTCTTGGTATATAGCGAAAGACTGTTTTTTTGCTGGTGGGAATGTTTTTGGACTAGTTGGCTTTCTTTTAGGAGCCTCCAAAGGAGTAGAATAATTTCCAGTTAATGCTGATTGTGCTGAAATAGCATTTACCTTTGCAGATGGTAACTTCAAAGCTGAAAAATTTGAAATCTGCCTTTGTACTGTTCCTGCATTATAGATAGTAGTATCAGGACTTTTGTAAATGGTAGATTTGAGAGGTTCCACAGGTACTACAGTTTTCTCCAAACTTTGATTATCTGAACTTATCACAGCCAATTGTTTTGAAATTGTTTTCTCTTCAAACACTGTTAAAATATCTGTACTTGGGTCATCTTTGAATTGAACACAGTTTGAATTTTGTTCATGTTGAGATTCTGGTATTAAAGCGACATCTTCCCAGTCAGTCAGCAGAGATAAGCAGTCAGAACTAGTACTGATCTCCTCATTGGACACATTAACTGAGGTGATGGTGGTGGAGACCAGCACTAGTCCCGGTCTGTGTGCTGGAGGACCAGATCTGGCTTTACTCAGAGGCTGCTCACTGCCCAATCCTTGCCAAATGCCTGTTGCTACAGTACTGAGGGACTGCTGTGACTGCTCAAGAGGAACAGGAAACCTGTCAGTAGATGCTGCTGAAGAGCTTTGTGCTTGAGCACGTAACCCAGACCTTGAGCTGCTGCTAGGTACAATGTGGACATCTGCAGAGGAATCAGTGGAAGTGCTCTGTTGTTCTTCAGTTTGTACATTCAAATTTTTAATTCCAGCAACACCATTCTGGTTTCTCTCAGCCAGAGAGTTTGTTTCACAAGTTCCATTTCTAGAAGTTTCAGGTCTGCTGTTACTTCCCAGTGGAGTCTTGTCAGTGAAGTTTATAGTCAGTGTTCTAGAAATTAAATTATTCTTCTGATGTGCCTGGGGGGACCATAAACAAAAGGAGATTTGGAAAGTTAATACCCAGAAGTTTTAGGAATCAATGCACAAAATTAATAAGCATATCAGCCTAAGGATGTTCTGTTCAAGTCAAAATGTTTATTATTTGCATAGCTCACCTTTCATCTGTATTCCAGGCTACAAAGCAAGTAGAAAGGGAGATATGAAGTAGATACTAACCTTATCCAAAGATTTAGTAACCTTCAGCACACAACCATCACAAATCAGCCTCCAAGCAAGACGGGCAGTATTCCGAGAATCATCCAACCCTTAAAAGAATAAGGTTATATTAATGTCTTGTTTTTAAACTACTACTGGGGATAGCTCTTATTAGAGGAGAAATGAAATCTACGTAAGCCTTACATAAATGACAGGGATTCACAGAACTCTGTAACATAGTTATCCAGTTCAAAAAACGGAAACTGAAGCAAAAAAATTCCCTGTGCTGAAACAGCTAAAGACACAATCCAGAGCTGAATATGTATCCACAATTTTGAAAATCCTTGTTCTGTTTTATTAACCTTGTAAAAAAAAAATTAAAAAAAAATCATATTGTGCTGGTATTGTTACACTAATATGCTGTCCAGGGCTATCAGGTAAAATCAAGTTTCCTTATCCTTCCTCCACCTCTTTTGCACCCTAGCAATTCAGAAATTGATCTTGCACTCAATAGCACTAGGAGAGATTTCAGAAATAAATTATGGAGGTTAGAAATAAAAAACTCTGGTCTTTGAAGCATCTAGCCTTTCTTGTTCTGATGTTTTTGTTGGACAGAACACTGCATAACCTGGAAACATTTGTTACTATTTGGAGTAATGACTGGCTATTACTAGCTGCTTTAGTTTAGCCAACTAAAGCTAAATAGTAGTTAGCTTTATAAAAAATATATTAAAATGAAGATCATCATATCATACTTACCAGAATGTTCCCGTCCTGCAAAAGCTATCCCCAAATCCTGCAAAGCACCATTTAGCCCTTTAGGCTTCCTATTATAGAAGGCCTAAAGGAAAAAAAAAAAATGCTTAACATAAAGCATTTCATAAGCATTTCAAAACCTCTTCATGGTGAAGAAAAAACCATTTCAGAAATATCACCTTATGAATAATAAATCTCACAAGGCAATCATACAAGCCAGGTATCTTAATTTTACAGTCAGGATAAATAAGCTTAAGCCCACAAGTGACTTACCCTGTAACAAACTGTAATGGAAAGAACCATGAATCCTTTCTCTGTCTTAAACTAATCTGTTTTGTCTTAGCTCTGGAGTCATTCGTTTGCACTTTATAGCTTACATTGATGAAGGCCTTAACAGAGCAGCACTGAAGAATACAACTATAAAATCCTGAGATGTTTGAACTGTTGCATATTGCAAAGGCCCAGGCATTAAATATATTTGCCATGGTTATAAATTATTTTTAAACAAGAAAAAGTGAATATTGCTACTCACTCCCAGCATCTCATTTGATCACAAGAAAGGGCGAATAGTCATGCTGTGTATCTTTAGAGGCCTAATTCTGATACTGAGGTTAAGAGCCTAAGCTCCAAGTGTCAGGACAGGTAAACTCCCGGACCACACTTTGAAAGTTTCCTTGACTACACAGGGAAAGGTACGCTTGGGGGCTCTTAGCCCCTGCTTTAGAGCTCTGCTGCAGTGTAGACTATGTAATAAAATATATGTTCATTCTGCATTATTCATACTATTCAGAATATACTTTCTGGTCCAAGTGCAGCTCACATGCTAGACCTTTAAGTACCTCTAAACAGATGATGATGATGACTATTTTCTATGCAGCAGTGTAAGACAGCGATAAGGGTACACAAAGTGAGGGAAGTTAGGAAGCAAGCAGAGCAAAAGATGTCAGGAAAGGAAGAGCAGCTCAAAAAAAATGTCCTAGGATTATCATTCATTTATCTAATAATAACACCAGGTTGTTTTCCTTGCTCTAAGATTTCTATTAAAGTTCACACAGTTCTAGGGCATGCAGTTTGTTATTGAGTGATAACAACATGGAAGGAAAACAAGTGGGTTACTCTAGTCACTGGAACATACAACACTGGCTTGTAACCTCAGATACAGGTAGCCTTTGAGATGATAACATGAGTATAGATGTTTCACAGTCTGTCGATCATCTCACCCTGTATGTTGCCTTGAGATCGATCCAGGAATTTAAAATATCAGGTTTTCGCAGCTGCTTCCTTTTACACTCATACTGCAAACACACACCCAGGTCCCAGTCTGCACAGAAAAAAACCCACATATAATCCATCACTAAAGAACCAGCCTAAAATCTACATAAACATGGCTTAATATCTATATAAAGGGACATAACATCAACATAGTAGTAGCGTCCTGTACTGCTGGACAGGAGACGCAGGCTGACGAAGTCCCTGTACATGAAAAGCACTAGGGTTGCTGCAATGGGACGTCAAGATAAGTGAATGCCTGTTGTTATTAAAGAATGACTTCCCATGGGTAAAGATCTCAAAGACCTCATTAAATCATTTAGACACATTAAGAACTGTGACACAGTTCACTACATGTAAAGCAGAAAAATGTAACGAGACCCTGGAGACAAAGATGTAGCGAACGTCAGAATTTTATATTTTCAGTCTTATCCCAATATTGCACATATCCAGAAACCGAGGATTTTGGCTGCCTAGAAGTTGAAAACACCATCTCACTAGCACCACCAAATGTTAGTTTTTTATGTGGGCTTAGTCCATAGAAAAAGCAAATGAAAATGTTATTTACCTGTCCAAGTAACAAAGGTACATGCTTTTGCTTCTGAAGTAGAATTACTTAGAATATCTGTACTGAATATAATTTTCTTCTCCTTTTGTATCTTTTGAATCCATTTCAAAAACTGTGATAAACAAATGTTTAGAGGGACTCCTTCATCAACTTGATTCTTTATGAAACAAAACCAGATGTATGTGTTAGTGTGCACTGAAATTTGAGGTTTATTTCTTTTTAGCCCTTTAAAGGCCTCTTTAAATAAAACAGTAAATAGCGATTATACTGTTGTAAAATAATGCTAAATAGCAATCATACCTGTGTTATGCCAGTTAGTTCTGTACAAAATTCAGAGATAACAGGATGCTCCTGGGGCTGGACATAGGTGTGGAACTCAGATTCAATCTCACCCGTTGAAGTGTTTAACAGGACTGCTGGAAATTCAACTGCGACAAAAACAAAATGAGGAAAAACAACCTAAAAACACCCCAGTGCCAGGAAGGTTAAAGCTGTTCACATGAACTATTCCATGAGCTTTAAACTGGGGTGGGATGGCCGGGCGTTATTAAGAGAACAAGGTACCGAAGACACGACGTTTAAAGCCGCCTCCTGGCACACGCACGCCAGGCCCCGGCCCCCCCCTCCCTCCC